GAAGTGAGAGCCAGGATAGGAACAGATACATGCATGCTCATGTTCATCACAGCACTACTTATAATAGCAAAAAGATGGAAACAACCTACGTGCCCATCGGTGGAAGAGTGGATGGCCAAACTATGGTACATACATGTACTGGAATGCTATGCAGCCCTAAAGAATAATGTAGAGTCTGCAAAACACTGCATAATATGGATAAACTTGGAAAACATTATGCTGAGTGAAATAAGTCAATCACAGAAGGACAAATATAGTATTAGTTCGTTGTTGTGGAGGGTCAAGGAAAGGTTTATATATGGAGGGAAACTTTCTTTGTTGGATGCCAGGGATGGGAGGGGAGGGGAGGGAACACTGCAAAAAAAAAAAAAAATTGCATTGACCCATGTCACTTTAGTTTTGTGTATTTCACTGTACATAAATTATATTTCAATGAAATGCATTTAAAAAAAAACTTAATGATGTTTTAAGTGTTTTTGGCTTATTAGCCATTTCTATTTCTTCTGTTGGTTTTTTGGTTCACATCTTCTACCAGTTTTTTCTGTTAGGTTATTGGTCTTTCAGGCTTATTAGCACCTCCTCCATAATATATTGATGTTGTTCCTCTGTCTTTTTGTCCTTTGTCTTATTTATTATAAGTATATTCCAAATTACCATTTGTATTTTAATTTGTCTCCATGCAAACATTTTAAATTTCTGTTACATCAAATTTACCACACACAGACTCCTTTTTCTGTCTTTATGGCTTTTCATGTATATTAAAAGCACTTAATCCTTCCCCAGCCTAAGATGACAAAAGTATGCTCCTAAATTTACTTCTAATGCCTTATCAGTATAGTTTTTAATTTTATATCTTTAACCATTTGAAATTTATGTCTACATATATTATAAGGCAGGAACTAACCACAAATAGGCCCAGTGGACCTACTATAATTCATTGATTTTAAATGCCTCCTGATCATATTCTGAATTTTACTGATCTAATTTTCACAATACAGTGCTCTTCTGATTAGTGTACATTTATAGTTGACCATGTTTTGTTGTCTGTAGAGCAAGTCCATTATCATCCTTCTTTTCTTCAAAATATCTTCTTGACTCTTCCTATATATTTAAACTTCAGGATGCATTTTAGACTCAGTTATCAAGTTCCATTAAAAAAGTCTTTGGGATTTGGCTTAGAAATATATTTATGGTATAGTCTTAGATGAAAACAAAACCAGTTTACAAATAATCTGGATATCGCATTATCATCTAGTTTCTAAAATTATACATATATGTAAAATAAATTATCAAAGAATGTAATGCAAAATCCATAGCAGTGGTTATCTCTAGGTGATGGTAGTATTGTTGGTGGGTTTTTTTCTTGGTGCTTTTCTTTTCTAAATTTTCTGCAATGCATATGTAGTACTTTTAAAATCAGGGCAAAAGAACCTGAAAAATGGTTATTAAACTAAATGTATTCATTAGTAACCTCATGATTATCTACTTAATGTAAAGAAATTAAATTATAACTTATAAAAACATTTCATGGGAAGTAAATATGCGACTAGTAGAGAGTGAAGTGCAAAATATAAAACAGCATTGTCCAGAATATTCCTGGGAAGGATTGAGATAGGAAACTGAAGCAATACAACCTCATCATCTCTTTACTTACTTTGCATAGTTGACTGCAGTTCCATTGAAGAGACTTCTGAGAGCCTTTTCACCTACCAGCATTTCTGGGTTATTTTTTATGTAGCTGAATTTACAAGACCCATTTCAAAGATTCATATTCATATGACATAGCCAGATCTTGAGATGAATCAAGAGTAATTGTGTTCTAAATCTGGCCCTCACATGTCCTGATCTTTAAGTCAGCATTTAGCAGAAGGAAGATTGCTAGATCTGTTTCCAACCCTTTGATATACTTGAACAAGCATCATGCTAATTCTTGGCTCAGTGTAACTAGATTCTATCAGCAGTAGAATTAAAACGTCCTCCTCTTTGCTTTTCAATCTATATACTCTTTGTGGTCATCTTATATATTTAATAACAATAGTAGTAACAATAATTATAACATCCACATTTATCAGGCATTTCCTGTGTGTCAAACATTACATTAAGCACTTTATGTGATTTTTACATTAAATCCTTAAAACAATACTATAAATGTTGTTGTACCATTTTACAGATGAGGAAACTGAAGCTCGGAAAATTAATAATTGGCCCAGCTGGCATTGAAACCTAAGGAGACTGACTCTCCAGAGTCTATATTCTTAAATACATTTTAAACTCAGTAATTAATTTCCCTCCTTTTTTTCCCTAAAACTTGCTGTATTTTAGTCTTATTTTTCCCAATTTCCCCAATAAAAATGTTCAAAATTATTCTCCAGTCTCTGTCACTTAATTCCACCTTCTATCAGTCCTACCTTTGAAAAAAGTCTCAAATCTGTATGCCCTTCCCCATGTCCCTCAATACTACCTTAGTTTTAGCCTTCTTAACTCGCACCTAGTCTTGTAACAATAGCCTCCCTTCATGTATTCTTCTTTTTATTCAATTTAACACATTTTTCTTACCTTCTAGAGTTATCTTCTAAGATGATGAAGCTGATTGTGTCACTGTACTGTTTAAAATCTCTTGGACTTCTTTTTTTCTTTTAAACAGATTAAATCTGAACTCTTTAACTTTGCATATGCAATGCCCCAAACTGTCTCTTCAACTTTATTTCCTGTCATTCTCTACCCAATGCCCATACTGAACTTTTCACTCTTCCTTAGATCCAGGCCAAGCCCTTTCATACTTCCATGCATCTGCATTTGTTTCATCTCCTTGAAAGCCTTTTCTACCTCAGATCTCCAAGACAACTGCCTCTTTAGCTTTCAAGACTGAGATCACATGTTAATTTTAGTGACAGTTTATCAGTCTCTTCCAGGATGAACCAGCCATTCTTACATCTTTTCCCATAGCACATATTCATGCCTCGGTTATGGTCTTTACTGCACTGTTATGCTATATCATGTTTGTTTCTGCCAATAACCTAAGTAGGTCTTCAGGTCATCTTCTAGTTCTTCATTCATCTTTCATCACCTATCCCATGTTGTTGTTGTTGTTATGTACAGTTGGACCCGACACATAGTGACCCCTCCTTGGGTTTCCAAGGCAGTATCACTATGGAAGTAGATTGCCCCACCTTCTTTCCTAGGAGTGGCTGGTGGGGTTGAACTGCCAGCCTTCTGGTTAGCAGTCAAGTGTCTTAGACACTATGCTACCTGAGCTCCCACCTATCCCATAGTAAACCAAAAACCAAACCCATTACCGTAGAGTCATTCCAATTCGTAGTGACCCTACAGGACAGAGCAGAACTGCCCCAGAGTTTCCACCAAGGCTGTAAATCTGTACAGGAGCAGACTGCTTCATCTTTCTCCCGTAGAGTGGCTGGTGGGTTAAAACTTCTGATCCTGAAGGATCAGAACTGAAGTTAGTAGCCAAGCACTTAACCACTGTACCACCTCAATAAATGTTGATTAAAATGCTTGAAGGACTGTCAAAGATGACTTCAGAATAGGAACTTGGAATTATACTTACTCCTCTGGTGGTGCATTTGACTGCTAACCAGAAGGCTGGCGGTTTAAACCCACAGCCGCTCTTCAGAAGGAAGACTGAGCAATCTACTTCCGTAGAGATAACTGTCTTGGAAACCCAAGGAGGGTTTGCTATGAATTGGGATTGGCTTGACAGCAGTGAGTTTATTTTTTTTCTTTTAAACAGACGACTGCCTTGTCTTTCCCAAAATCATCTCTTTAGCTGAATTACTAGGCTAAAATAGAGTGCATTTTACCGACATTTGTTTAGGTGGCACAGTGGGTAAGTGCTCAGCTGCTAACTGGCAATGGGTTTGGTATTTTGGTTTAATATACTGAAAAAAAAAAACTAACTGCCATCAAGTCGGATCTGACTCGTAGCCACCCCTCCTTAGGTTTCCGAGGCAGTATCCCTACGGAAGTAGATTGCCCAATCTTCCTTCCGAGGAATGGCTGGCGGGTTTGAACTGCTAGCCTTCTGGTTAGCAGTCAGATGCCTTAGGCACTACACCATCAGAGCTCCTTTGGTTTAATATACTGAATAAAAATGGTACTTGGCACAGAAATAATGAGAATGTTCACATATTGTGAAAGCCATAACTAATGTCACTGAACAATTTGTAAAGAAAATGTGGAATAAGAACCTAAACTGCTGTGTGAACTTTCACCAAAAACACAATAAAATATTATTTTTTTAAAAATAATGGTACTTTGCAAATGGGGAAGTCCTTCAAATTACAAATATCTCTAGGACAAAGACCATTATGCCAGGAGGCAATAGCAAGATCAAGATCATAGCTAAAATAATCCTTGCACTCTCCTCCTACTTCCTGTGCCTGTATGTGATATTGTTACACAGTAAAGAGTACATTCCAAGTGGAATAGAGGCCTGAGATTGGAGCTCCTTGGGCCTTGGCCTAGTCACCAATTTCTTTAAGCCTCATTTTCACGAAGAGCCATTTGGTATTTACGCTTTGTTGTTAATTTGGATGCAGGGGGACTTTACGTAGGAGTGCCTTTTTTTTTCTGTCATTTCTTTATTGAGGCGCACTGATTCTTTTTTGTTGTTGTTGTTTAATTGTGATTTGGGTGAAGATTTACAGAGCAAATTCACTTTCCATACAGCAGTTCATATATGCTTTGTCTCATGACATTGACCACAGTTTACCACAATACAACATTTCCCCTCCCACTTCCTCCCCATAGTTACCTCTTCCCTGTGTCCATCCCTCCATGCACTCCTGCCCCCTAAGCTGTCTCCCTGTGCATAAGCAACCTTTCTTTCTCCCATGATTGTTCTCTCCAAGGAGAGTATCTACTTGAGGTAAATGTTCAACTCAATTGCCTATCTTTTGTTTGGCTGGAAACCACAGGTGGGCGCACTGATTCTTAACTCATTGTTTTATTTTGTCTGAAATCATGTTTCCTTTCCCTTTCAGCTTCAGAATGAGTTAGAAAAAGGTGAGCGGGACAATGCAGAACTGCAGGAGTTTGCCAATGCCATCCTCCAGCAGATAGCCGATCATTGCCCCGACATCCTGGAGCAGGTGGTCAACGCATTAGAAGAGTCATCCTGACCCTGCTTATGGGAAGCGTCTCACCCAGCAGCCTGATATAGTCAACCCAGGAGCCAAGAAAGGAGTAATACAAGGAACAGGCACCCAGAAACTTTTTGGCCCCTAACAAACACTACAAACTGCATCCTATCTTGCTCAGTTCTTCAAGAGTGATTCCAGCACCATTTCTGTAGCTGTCATCATACTCTGCCTTTCTGCTTTGGATGCTGTCCCTACACTAACTTTCTTGATGACCAGGTTGGGTAAGTGGCTGAGTCTCCATGAATAACTCCCATCCAGTCATCAACAGTAGAGAACTATGGAAGCTGGCGGCTCTGCCCTTACAGAGTGGCGTGGAATAGAGAACCTTCTTACTTTCTGTCCTTTAACTTGAGAACTAAATCTGGAATTTACTTGGAGTTCAACATATTGAGAGAATGCCTCTCCGTGGACCAGAGAGCTGAGTGTGCTAACATCAAAATAGGTGCTTTCTCCGAAAAGCATGAAAAAAAAAAATCTCAAAAAGATAGAGTATTAAAAAGAAGGAGAGCAGAGACAAAGAGAAAACCAGCTCTTCTTTTTACTGTCTCTTTTGCTTATTTTTCATGTGTAATATTTTATGCAGGGGAGCTGCAGGCAGGCCTCATAATGGCTTAGCAAACACTAATACCCCAAGTTTGGAGTCTTTACCCCAACCCTACCTGTCTCAATGTTCCTTGTTCTTCTTACCCAGTCACCCCCTAGCCTCTTGTTGAAGACCTTTGACCCTATTACTTAGTTGGCAAGAGAAAGTATCTCAAATTGAAAGAGAAGAAGGGTTTGACATGTGGGGCATTGTGGTCACCACCTACGGCTTTGCTCCTGTAGAAGGTGACTGACTGTTCCTTGAGGTCAGGCTGATTTCTCCTGAACATTTCCCTCATCACCACTCAAGGTCCTTGGGCCCCAAAGGAATGCTGTCTCTCTTCCTACCACTGTGTTACAAAGCTCTTGCAGCAAATTCCTGGTTGCTGAAGTTTATAACTTGTCTTCTGTCCTGTGAGCTTCATCCCAGACACGCTTCCAGAGCCACAGCCATGTGCAGTGCCTGGAACCTTCTTCTGACCCAAATGGGTACTCCTTGCCCACACACATTTCTTCCTGCGTTCTGTCAAAGAATATTTATGAGAATATTCCTTCTGTGTGCAAGTCACTGTGTTAGGCCCCCATCTTTGAAAAAGCCTCTTCAGTGAGGGAGAAGGTTTTGTGAGAAATAACTAATTCATTCCAAGTAGTAAAAAGCATATCCTTCCCCTCTTTCATCTTAATGGTCAGTGCCTTTTTTAGAAAAAAATCTTTTGTAAGTCAGCATTTCTAAGTACAATGGAATTGATGTCTTTGGGGGACTCTGAGGCACCTATCCCTATAGTATCCCATTCAGTGGTGGTTGGTGTTACCCTGAAAGAGTGAACTATTTTGGGAGCTATGAATATCCACTTGTGAGTAGTAGTTTTCTCAACAGCTACATGTACCTGCGTGGAACTGGGCCAGCTCCACAAATTGGGTTACAAATCAGAAAGCTGACCCCAAAGTTGCAAATCCACTTGAAGGTGTTGGCATTTTAAAGGGCATTTTTCCCAAGCATAGACCAAATGGCAGTAGCAAATAATCAGGCACCAAGAAATAGACCACTTAACCCAAATTGTGCCTTTGGACCACCTCTACCATGAGATACCCACCAGGCACTCACACCTTCTGATACGGGTTGCTGGACCAAGTGATTTTTTTCTTGCATTTTCTCTTCTCCTCTTCCCCCAGTTACTCACCCAAAGAATTTAATGCTGCCTGTAAAGTCATCACAGCCATCAGTCCACTATCTTCCCACCATTGGCCCTTGACTATCCCATTAACTTATATGGTCAAATTCCCAGCTGCCCTATTCCCTGCTGTAAAACAATCCCTCTCCCTGTGAGAAGCTGTGGAGTGTTCCTTATCGGAGGTTTAAATGGACTCTCCTCATAAACCTCTTACTGAGATGCTTCCTGATAGTGAGGGGGGTGCAGGAGTTAGGGAGTAAGTCATGGTCGTTTGTGGTGAATTACCTCAATTCCATTTATTTATTGCTGTGCCCATAAATCATGCAGAAAGCCCCAGTACTTCAGGGATGGAGTATTAGAATCTCACTTTCGCTACCATAATTCAGAGGTATGATAATGTGGTCCTTCACAGGAAAGCAGGAGAAATGGTAAGGCCTGGCACTGGCCTGCTGTTCTCTGCCTGATCTGACAAGGAAAGGCATCAAGCACATCTCCTGGACTCCACTCCTTTGGCCTTTATCATCAGATACAATACCTACCACTCTTGTCCACTTAACGTGACTCTCGCTGCGCCTCCTTCCTTCCCCTCTTTATTTCAATGCTCCTCATAACTTCCACTTCAAAAAAAAAAAAAAAAAACTTATGGAAGCCATCTGTGGCAAATGCTTCTAAGAAGAAAAATTTCTGGAACAGACATCATCTGGCTGGTCTCTATGAGGCGTAGCAGGGAAATCTCCTTGATCCTTCTTGGGTGGTGATCCTGACATCTCAAATGATTATGAAACTGTTTGGCCCTAGATGAAAGCAGGCTCTGGCTCAAGTTTAATACTGAACATGGCCCGCCTTTATATTTAGGGGCAAAGTTAATACAGTTTCTAGCATTTAGAATCTCTTATTGAGTACCATGCATTGAACCAACACTTATTAAATGCACAGCTCCCATCACACTAAGAGTCCGTGACCCTCTTCTGGTGTTCATAATTTCATTAAATCTCTCAATTGCTATCAAAGGTCGGTAACCTTGAAAACTCCCTGCAAAATGCCTAATGGCCACCAAACTCATCCATTCCATTGGCAAGTCTAGTTGCACCCCAAATCAAGGTCATCATAAAGGGGACAATAATATGAATGCGTAGAATCCAACATGGGGCTCATGGCTAAAGAAATACATGTGAGTTGCTCATCTTTTCATGTACCTCTCTATCCCAAGTACTCATCTAGTTATTGATGAAGGATCTGAATTGAGATTTTTCAAGGACATGGAAACCATTTGAAATGGAAATCCTTTTAATAGGTTCTAACATATTAAGAAATATGAATGGGGGGAAAAAAAAGAAATATGAATGGGAAGCCCCAGATCCATCTCAGCTCTAACATGTGACATTGCACTTTATATTCTAAACGTCTAAGTACTTTGCTTTCTTCTTTTCACTTTGGCTTTAGAAATACTAATAAAGCTGCCTGGACCCAAAGCTGCCTTCAGTGTTGATAGTGATGATGTGACTTGCCATTTTTGTCAATAAAAATCTGTTTGATTTTTCCACGAGGGCTCAGTGGCTCCCCAGAGTGAGAGAAGAGGAAGGGGAAGTCATCACAAATTTTTAGTCAATCACTGAACCGGTCCCTCCTTTATTTATGATCAGGGTTGGTATTTGGATTTGCTGCTAGAGAGTCCTGCTGATTCCAGAACCATCCTGTCCTCCTGTGCAGCCCCATTCCTTCAGCACTAGGTCCATTGACTACCTTCAGGGGCTTTGAAGAAAGAGCAAAGCGAGGAATATGCCGCCACATAGACTGTGACCCTCACATGACATCTCCTAAGTCCCAGCAGGGCCTGTGTCAGCAATATCAGTAATGTTCATGTCTGCCTCCCCAGCCTCACCTCCCCACCTGCAAGAGTTAAGAACTGTGGAAAAGGGGATGAGAAGAAAGAACAGACTTCATTCAATACAACAAGCTTTTGCAAAGCCTGCAAGGCCAACCCATCCATCACTGACAACCCCTGGGCTTCTCAGGACAGTGACTTGAACCATTCGAAGAAATGTTTTAAAAAGAATCTGGGTTTTCCCCCTTGTGAACTAAGAGAACATTTAGGCAAGAAAAAAATACGTATACATTATAGGGAAATCCTTCTGAACAAAATGGCTATCTTTACCTACTCTTTTTAATCAAAACTGTTTCCAGACTTTTTAGTGTCAAAACTGTAACCAAGTGTCTCCTGATTTTTCCCAATGTGTTTGGCGAGTGTTGTGACCCTATTGTAGGTATTTATCCTCTTGATTGGGGAGAGGTGGTTTTAGGGATTGATTTGGGGGGAGTGGATTTTTGTCCCATCCCACCTCCTCTTTCGTTTCTCTGCTTGTCTATATTGTCTGTGTGATTCAGAGAATTGGGGCAGTTACGTTGTATCCTTTGTTGAGATTATTAAAATTTTAAAAAGTAGCTGTAGAACTGAAAAATAAAAGAGTTGTGTTTTTAAAAATACAAACCAATATCATGTTCATAAAGGAATTCAAGCTATCGGGCAGCCAAACTCCTCCTCCTCCTCCCCCTCCCAAATTGGCTTAAGCGGAAGCTGGGCTAGCCTTCTGGGAAGCACAGTCACCACACTCCGAGGAGGTGGCTGCCTGGGTGAAAAAGACAACTGCTGAATAAAAGGAATACAAATCAGGGGGTCAGGGAGTCCCATTTGTGCCAGGGTTTTCCTATATCCTCAGGACCTCTGGGTAGAGGCCTCAAAGTCCATACCCCAGAACCACCCTCACCCCTACATCGGTCCCAGCTCAGTGTGCCTAATTCTGTGTGTTCACCTGGGCTTGACTCTGAACCCCTGCTCCTGGCAGCAGTCCTGTACAGGCCACAGAACCTCTCTCCTGCCCACTTGGTGCTATATCATCCAGTGACCCATCCACTATGGGCCCAGCACTGGCCAGCCTGGAGCCTACAATCCAGGTGGAATGAATTGTACTCAGATCTCAGTTCCTTCTGGCTTCAGTCCTACATTCTTTCCCTGGAAGCTTTTTCACCCCAAATCTGCTGGGTCCAAGATAGCTTCCTTGGCCCCAGAGATACCATAGTCAGGAAAGGAAGTGAACCATGCCAGAGCCAGAGAATCCACCCCTGGGCCAGAGCAAGCACTGCAGGCCCAGCCCTTCTTTCCACACCACACCAGTATTGCAGTCATCCTCTAATGCAGCTAGACCTACCTGAGGGCAACATACCACCCATTCCGGCCTGCCTGCCCCTTTCAGGACTAGCCCAGGAACCTGCCAAGCACATTAGATATCCAGGATGGGGACTTGGTGGTGTCCCTGGGATCGGCTCCCCTAAGCTTCAGAAGAGAAGTGTTGCACTTTAGTGGAGGCGCTGAGGAGCGTGGGGTACTGACTCCTTGTAGCTTGAGTTTCTTTTGGTAACAGTAGCAGCCTAAATGGTGGTGTCTGTCATGCAAACGCACCTGCTGCCTTCAACTGTATGTGTGTGTTCTTGCTGGAGTCATGTTACTGACAGGATAATGACACTACAAAGAAATTGTGTTATATTCAACTTTGCCTTGATAATTATTGTAAACACTTTGTTCATTTTTTTCTTTTTTATTCACAAACTAAATCCATCAGGAAATTATAAAGTTATTTAAAAATTGTGTGCTGTGTCTTTCTTTGAGCTTCTAGATAAGATGTGTCCTCAAATGCTTTTTTTAAAAAAAAAAAAAAAAAGCCAGAGATTCCCAGGAGGTCAACTCCAGTTGTAGGTAACCCAAGAACCAGGGATGTCCAGGGCTAAGGGGGCTGTAGGTGATTTACAGGCCACTCAGCCCTGAATAGGGTCTGGTTCCTTATTCACAGGCCTAGTGGGGTGATCTCATTGAGAAAAATAAGCCTCCTTTTGGTTATCCCTCAACTCTGGATTGGCAGCCCCTTAATTGCCTTTCAAAGTCAATTTCCACCTCCCTTCCTTCCTTACACCCTAGGCTCTGAGCCAGGTCCTCATTTCCAGTCTGTATTCCAGAG